CTAACTGGTATCAATGATTCATGCTAGAGTAGGGGTTGTATCTGTCAGTGCCTGCGAAAGCCCAAAGAAGGCACTGGATTCCCCTGGACCTATAATCCAGGTCATCAGCTGCCCAGTGTGGGTGCTGAGAACTGAACCCATCTTCTGCGAGAGCAGCAAGCACTCTTAACCACATCACTAGTACATCTGCAAACTAGGATGGAACTGTTTAACAACTTAAAAGATTGTTACTATAAACCCAGTGAAAGCTCACTGGGAGGTCCCAAACCTTAACGGGGAAAGTTACTGTTGTTTTGTTAAATGGACATTGTATATGTGCCAAACTGCCTTCTAAATAACTATATTTATGCCCATAGATTACTGTTGCTATCAGCTTTGTTCAGGCAAGCTTCTTTTTTACAATAGTTAGTGGATACCAGAGACTTAATAACTGCTCAAAAGCCAGGCAGTGGTAACTTACGACTGAAATCCCAGCACCTGGGAGGCAGAAGCAGGCAGAGCTCTGTCAGTTCAAGCACAGCCTGATCTACAAAGCCAATTTCAGGACAGCCAAGGCTACACAGAAAAACAAACAAAGGCTACACAGAAAAATCAGCAAATAAAAACATGCTAAAAAAGGAGAAAAACAAAACTTAAGACCAAATGTTAGAATGCCTATAGCCATAAATGGACTTGCAAGGATGTATGAGCTAAATTCTACCCAATTCTACATTTGGTTCATACGATTAAAAAGATTCGTCGCTGTTACACAGTGAATATGAATTCCAGGGCCTGGAGGGGGCTCTGTGCTTTGGAAAGCAAGGCTTCCTCCCTGCTGCAGGAAATCCAAGGCCTCCCCAGGCACTGCATTCACATGGTGCAAAAATACAGACATAATTAAAAATTATGCAAATAACTGAAAAGTGTAAAACTGCTGAGGAAGCCTATGAATGCCACATACACACAAACGAAGGTATGCACACTCCATCTCCCTTTATACTTTAAACACTTGTCTTATATGCCACATGGGTGAGGTACCTGTGGAAGCCACAGGCAGGCAAGGGATCCTTGAAACTGGAAACCGAGCCCTTCTGGAATAGCAGTAAGTACTCTTATCTACTGAGCCAGCTTGCCAGCATCCTTTTAAAATGTAGACGTACTCTGTAGCTAGTGATGGCCTAGATTTCATCACATAACCCAGGTTGGTGTCAAACTCTTGGTAATCCTCCTGCCTCTGACTCTGCGTAATGGAATTACAGGTGAGTGTCACACTTAGTTCCACTTTCCACTTAACTCATCACAGAACATCAAGATCCTCCTCTTCCACACAGAACCCAGAGCTGGCCAGAGAACGCAGACCCGGAGCTCTAAATTTATTCCCACAGACCCACAGGCCTATACGGTGGAAGGTGAGATCTAATTCCAAAAAGTTGTCCTCCGACCTCTACATGTGCTGTGACATGCCATGTGGCCATGTGACACATAGAAGATAAGTGTGCTTTTAAACATCTTTTTAAATCTGGGGGAAAGATTGCTAATGCTCTTGCATCCACATAGGGTGGCTTAAAGCCACCCAAAACTCCAGCTCCTTATCGTCTCAATTCCGAAGGCATCTGCACATGTGCATATTTCTACATACATATATGTATCTTTTTTTCAAAAAATATAGAATTGACCAGGAGAAACAGCCATGCAAACTCACCTAGTGGCAAATGTTTACATAATCCCACATCCCATCACACAGCTGGTGCAGGAGACATGTACACACATCCTCAGAGCCCCCCAAACCTTCTGCTCCCTCACTCACCGATCATGTCCAAGCCAAACACTCCAGTCCAAGCTTCAGACTGTGTTACCTCTAGGCTTCTAGCAAAGTATTTCTCTTTTTAATATTTTTTATTTTTGAGAAATGTGTGTGGGCATGTGATGCCCCTGGACTTGGAGCTGTAGACACTTGTGAGCAGCTGGACCTGAGTCCTCTTCAACAGCTCCTAACTAGAGCCAGCCCCTTCCTATCTTCGTTTCATTATGTGAACAGCAGCAAACATTTACTGTGCATTACGCAGCTGAGTACTGCTTAAGATTTACATACAAATTTAATCAAGGCCCGCCTTAAACACGGAGAGGCTGAGGCAGCCGGGAGGCTCTGGCCCGAGCGGGGCTCAATGTGCCTAGACGTGGCCATGTTGGTCCGAGCCACGGTGCGGGGCGTGAGGAAGAGGAAACTGGCCCCGATGTGGGCTGCGGTCCGGCTGACTCCCTCAGCTGTGAACAAGACAAACAGCTTTTCAAAGACAAACCGGAGCACGTGGGTCTGAACGTCGGTGTGCGAACCAGGGGCTGTCACGGCCTCTCCTACACCCTGGAGTATACAAACAAAAGGAGACTCTGGTGACTCACTCCAAGCCCCAGGAGAGCCGGGATCCACCTGGGAGCTTACTGAAGAAATCATGTGATCGTCACGTGCTCAGAGTTTACGCGTGACCATCTCAAGGAGAAAAATAAAGTGATGCATTTTGGAAATCAAAAAAAAAAATTAATCAAGCCTTTGAAGTGAGGTACTGGAGACAGACTATAGCACAAATGAATTGTCAGACGTGACACTCACCTTTTCCTTTCTTGAGACAGTCTATGTAGCACTGATTGTCCTGGAACTTCTTTGTAGACCGGGCTGGCCTTGAAGACATTCACCTTAATGTGGACAGGTACAATCACACATTTTGTTCTCTTGGTTTCTGGAAACTGCAAACCTCTGACCACGTTAACATTGGAGACAGCTGTTTCTTCCTCTGGATGAATCCGAAAGCTGGCTACTGCCAACATGGTAATACTATAAATCACCTTTCCTCTAAATACTTCTCAGCCCCTAGGTTTAACGTAACCTCAGAACGGAACCCTGAAATTCTTACCAGAAAGACTGCTTCTGGATGCTTACGTTTGTTAATAAAATTATTTAGAAACGAGATGGGTGGCTCAGTAGGTAAAGGTTTCTGCCACCAAGCTTCCTGGCTCAAGTTTGATCCCTGGGACACACATGATCCCTGCAGGCTGTCCTCTGGCCACAAGGTCAGATCCACCCCCAAGATCTCATGTGTGCTAGCCAGGAATTGCTCAGACATACAGGACACAAAAATATATGATTTTTGAAAAGCTTTCTATCTATTGCTCTAGTCATAAGCCAAAATTTGCACTCTCTCTCTCTCTCTCACACACACACACACACACACACACAGAGAGAGAGAGAGAGAGAGAGAGAGAGAGAGAGAGAGAGAGAGAGAGAGAGGAATGACAAAGCAATCCTACACAGAAATGGTTAGACCGGTGATTTCCGAAGCGTCTCCAGAAGAGCATCAGAATACCTCGGGAACTTGTTAGCAATGCAGATACCCAGAACACATCTAAAACTTAATGAATTGTAAGCTGTAGGACAGGGACAAGGCCAGCAGTGATTTTAATGTACACTGAAGTTGAGTATATGTAAAGGAAAACATGAGGCAAGAGGGAGTTAAGCTACATATATACATACTACATACATACATACATGATCACTACAGACATACGCTACTACAGTTATGGGTCACTTTGCATGCCAGAAATCACGCAGGCCTGGAATACAGCTCAATATACTCCCTTAACAAGTACCAGGTCCTAGCTTTCATACCCAGCACCACAACAATTACGGTCAGGAATTAATGTAAAGTTAAGAGAGCAATTTTTCATTGTGCCAGTTCATTATATTGAAAGAAAACCTTAAAATTGTAAGTTATACACAGCTAAGCAGGGCAAGTTTTTGGAAGAAGGATTCATTTATGTATTTAGGCATACAATTCGTAGTTATGACACCAGAGTAAGAAAAGACACATGGCAATGTAGCCACATAAATGAATCCCTTTTAAAAAAGCTCTGAGATTAACATATGTAGATGAACATTAACCTTGATATGGGAGGAGCAGCAAGATGGCTTAGTATATAGAGGGGCTTACCATCAAACCTAAAGACCCGAGTTTCACACACACACACACTCAGAATCCTCACAGTGGAAGTAGTGAACAGAGTTCTATAGGATTCCCTAACCGGGTATGCACACCACCCACCTACCCCACAAAATGTAAGAGCCCCAAGTGCTGGGAGCTAGCTGTAAATAAAGTACTTGCCTTGCAAGCATAGGACCTAAATCCGACTCCTTGAAACCATGCTGGGGGGTGGGGGGAGAAAAAGCTGAGTGTAGTGGTGTACATTTGGTCCAGCTTTGTTGAGGAGGCCGAGACAGGCTGATCCCTGGGGCCTGCTGTCAGTCAGCTTAGGTGTAGGCCATAAGATGTGGACAGAGCACAAGCACATGAGGTTCTGCTCTGGTTCCATAAGCATGCACATCTGTATACAATACACATGTACCTACCGCACACAACTTAGTATTCTGTACCAAATTACATCATGATGACAGAGATGGAATTTTAAAAATCGTCAAGAAGGCCCAAAAGGTCTGAGCCTCTCACCCTAATACCCCTTGGGAAAAGAAACAAGTGTCTGTCAAAACAGGAATAAAACACTGAACGTCAAATGATACCCATGCACCTAAACTTCAAGTTCAAATGATCTTGCAAAAATATTAGAAATGTACCAAGACCATACTCAACATAGCAAAATAAAACGGAAAGATTTAAGCATGTTGTCATTTTCAATTTTAATAAAATAGATAATTTCATTACATAGAGTGTCAAGTCCATCCACTCATTGTTAAAAGTTTTAGAAATATCTTCTATAAAAGCTTGGTATTTGATAGGGAATCAATCAACTATAACATTTCTACAGGTACAGAGTTCCCACCTTTACCTCCATCCTTATCTTGAAAAATACAGAAAAGTACAAAAAATAAGACATGATATCCATATAACACAACTGAAAGTAAGCCAGTATCTTCATATATTTATTTGCAGTCTTTAAGAGAATGAACTTATATAAAAAGCTGAGGCCCTTCCCTCCCCCTCCCTCCCCCTCGCTCCCTCCCCTTCCCTCTCCCTCAGGAGTTGGTTTGCACCCTTCTGTGCATCTCATTTACACACATATATGCATTTATACCATGATTAGCTGAGTTTCAAGAAGGAGATTTTAGCTTGACAGGGTCACTGTACTATAAGCATCATTCTGCAACTTGAGTCCCCCCACATCACTTCCAGAATCCTTCCAGCGACACACACCTCATTTGTTGCATCTGCCAGATGTCTAGGTAATAGTCCACCTAAAAACTTCTCATTTCATTCCTAACAAGGTATCAATTCTAATATTTGGCTACTCTAAATGACACATGTCCTGGTACATAAGTGCCCGAGCATAATTACTCATGAGAATTACTAAGTAATTTCAAATGTTACAAGGAATGTTTTCCCACTCCCAAGGTCATAATCTTGTTTAATGTATACCGTTTTTATATTTCTGCTTTCAGTTTCCATATATTTAACCTTTAGTGTTGTTTATAGTTTGTGGTGTGTAGCTTTGCTCCTCAGAGAACAATCTGCCTCCAAACATAGTCTTCATGTTCATCTGAAACAATTCTTTTCATATTCTACATCTTGGTAAATGCATAGTTATTCTATAATTGCTATCCTCTTGAAATTACATTACATATTACTGCATGATCATATAACTTACTTTGTTTCTTCTATTACAGCTTACTTATTAGACTGGCGGAGACTTCCAGATCTATGCTGATAGCAGTGCCAGCCCTTTCTCCACTCTCAACTATAGAGAACTGTAAAGTCTCAGCATTGGTTTCGTTCTGTTATGTTAGAACGCAGGCTTTGATCATACAGACTTCCCCTTCGGTATGAATTCTCCGGTGGTTATGACATTTTCTCTGAAATGTTTGGCTGATCTGTGGTGCGCAGCCTCTTAATGGAGACATTCAGAGTGTTTAATGAGTATGGATTTTCTGGTGCCTAATGTGGTGTGACTTCTGGCTGAAAGCCTTCCCACACTCACTACACTGGTAAGGCTTTTTACCTGTATGTATTCTCAAATGCAGGGCCAGGGTTGAGAACTGAGAAAAGGCCTTCCCGCATTCATTGCAGCCATAGGGTTTCTCACCGGTATGGCTCCTCACATGCACTGTTAGAGATGAGCTCTGAGAGAAGGCTTTCCCACATACGTTGCATTCATAGGGTTTATCACCTGAATGAATTCTCACATGCACAATAAGTGATGTTCGCTGAGAAAAGGCTTTCCCACATTCGTTGCATTCATAGGGTTTTTCTCCAGTGTGAATGTTTTGATGCTTTATGAGGTACTTTTTCTGGCCAAAAGCTGTCCCACATTCATTACATTTAAAAGGTTTCTCACCAATATGAATTTTCTCATGCTCAGTGAGATTTGATTTGCCACTAAAGGTTTTTCCACACTCCTTACATATGAAGGGTTTCTCTCCTGTGTGAGTTCTCTGATGTCGGATGAGGTTTGACTTCTGAATGAAAGCTTTCCCACAATCTTTGCACTCGAAAGGTTTCTCTCCGGTGTGAATTTTCTGATGGGTAAGCAAGTTTTCCTTCTGGCTAAAGGACTTTCCACAATCATTACACTCAAAAAGCTTCTCTCCAGTATGAGTGTTCTGATGCTTAATGACATACTGCTTCTGGCTAAAGGCTTTTCCACACTCATTACATTCAAAAGGTTTCTCTCTATTGTGAAAATGCTCGTGCTCTGTAAGATTTGATTTGTGGCTAAAGAGTTTCCCACATACCTTACAGGCAAAGGGGCTTCCCCCACTTAAAATTCTCTGCTGACTGAGGTGTGACATCTGAATGGAAGCTTTATCACATTCACAAGGTTTATCTCCAATTACGAAATCTTTGAGAACTGAGGGGTTACTTTTGGTTGGGGATATTTCCACATTTCTTATAGTTCCAAGGCTTCTGTGTCTGACCTCTCATACAAATGCAAAGTACAGAACAATGCTTAAGAGACCTTTATCAGTATAAACCTTTCTTCCCAGTGCAAGTTTTCTAATGGTCAATGTTGCTTTTGCAAATTTCACTTGCTTTCCTCCAGCATGAATTTTCTGATGTTGAGAGATCTGTCATCTAGCTAAAGGCTTTTCAATATTCCTTAGAAACACCAGGCTTCCTCTCAGCATGACTTCTATGTTCAATGAGATGTGGCATTTGAGTAAATTCATAGGCTTTTACTCTAGTCCGCATGCTCCACTAACAAATGGGGCAGTGTTTAAGCTGCAGGCATTTCCACACTGCCTCTTGTAAGATATTCTTACCAGGAGGAGAAAGCTATGGTAGAGGATTTCCAAACTCTACAAAAATCACATGATTCTTCCCCATAAAACTTCCTGTTAAAATCTAAATTGTGTTTCAAACTTGAAGCTTTGAAAAATGTTTGCCTTTTAAAAAGCGAAGTCTGTTCTGAAAAACAGAAAGAAGAGAAATGAAGACTGTGAGCAAAGACGATTCCAATTTTCTTGCATGCACATTTTCTTTGGTGGCTTTAACTGACCTCGCAGATCTTGATGAAGCTCTATGTACTTGTCATTTCTCAGTTGCTTCTACAACAGATCACAAAGAATCATTTAGAAGAACATGGGTATTATATATTAAGCACTCAACAAGTACTTTCTATAGGTGAGTTAGCATTACCTAAACATTCCCCATTATCTAATGCTAGTGTGCACAGTATTAGAAGGTGCTATGCAACCTTCCAAGAGAGGGAAGTAACCAATAATCCCATGCAGCTGACACAATGAATTCTAACAACCAACATGGCAAGATACCTTGGTAGTAACTAACAGCTGTCTAACTGAACTTCAGGCATGCTCAACAGGAGGAAAATAATGTCTAATGCAAACCTGGCCAACTACCTAGGGTCCTAAGAAGAAAACCTACTACTGCCACTTTACTAATCAGCCCAGTCCCTAACTATACTCTAAACACTTACCCTTATAGCCACAGTTAAGTGTGGCTCTCATCCATCATCAAATAAACTTCTTTTTACAAAAGACAGAGACCATCACAGAAAACCACAACTGGCCAAATGTGCAGAGAACAATTGGTCATGGAATGCCTGGCCCCAATATAAACAACTCTTGCACCTAAGGCTCAGGAACATCATGGAAGATGGTAAGAATCAGAGGATCAGAAAAACTGCTGTAAGATTGTGTCTCCTAGAGATGGCTCAGAGGTTAAGAGTACTGGCTGTTCTTCCAGAGGAACTGGGTTCAACTCCCAGCACCCATTGGCAGCTCACAACTGTCTGCAACTCTAGTTCCAGGAATCCAACACTCACACACAGATATGCATGCAGGCAAAACACCAATTCACATTAGGAAAAAAAAAAAAAAAAAGATTGTGTCTCCTAGAAATGACAGGGAAGCTTTACCTTTCATACCCAACCAAGGCTGCCTAAATAGGACTTGAACAAGTAAAACACCAACATGCTAACACAAAAGGGAAAAATCTCATCTGACCCCACCCTAAACAAAGAACTATAGGCAACTAAGGAATACTGAGAAGAGGAATAATAATCTTCCTCAGGGATAAGCCCTCTCATTGGTTACCTAAATCCAACTGGCCATCCCTGAAGTCATATACATACAAGTCACAGTATAAATGGGCTGAGTGCGCGCACATGCGTGCACACACGGATGCATACACACACACACACACACACACAAGAAAAAGAGACCATGAATCTGGGAGGGAACAGGGGGAAGAAATGGGAGGGGCTGGAGAAAGGAAAGAAGTATCTAATTATATTTTCATTAAAAAATGTACTCATAAAAAAACTATCTTTGTTTCTGTGTGTTGTTATTTTATTCTGAGATGGGGTCTTTCTTGGCCATGAAGTTGTGACTGATATAAAACTTGCTATGTAGACCATGGTGGCCTTGAACTTGCATGGATACTTTTGCCTCTGTCTCACACTATATGGACATGTGTCATCAAAACCAGCAAATTTTGTAGGGGTAGGGGAGGCAGGCTCTCTTGTAGCCAAAGATGACTTCTAACTTGGCTATGTAGTAGGGGCTGGCCTTGACCTCTGGACCCTTCAGTCCCTGCCTTCCCAATTCAGGTCTGCAACACTGTATCTAATTTCAAAGGGCCCACTTGGTACTTGAACAATTAATAAGCTACATACATATAACTTATGACTATAATCTTTTATAAAAAAAAACAAAGTTACAGTTTTGGTTTTATTGACATAGAATCTCATATCTCAAGATGGACTTGAACTCCTGATTCTCTAGATACTATGACATTTTTCATAATCATTTTATAATATAATCATGTAACTCATGACATAATCATAATAGAATTATGTTTTCAGAAAGTAATATGCTATCACTGAATTAAATGGAACTCAGAATGGCATGAAATGACCAAGAAATATGAAGGCTGATAAGATGGCTGGCTCAGGAGGGACCAACTTCATCAAGTGGTCCTGACCTCCATACACGTATTGCACACAACTGCACAAACACACAATCAAAACAAAGCACATACATATAGGGTTCGTGTGGCTCAGCAGTTAAGAGCAACTGCTGCTCTGGTGAGTGCTGGAGGGGTGTCACTGTGTCATCACTGGGCATGGATTCTGAGGTTTCAAAAGCCCACACCAGGCCCAGTCTTGATCCCTCTCTGCCTACATCTTGTGGATAAGATATAATAAGCTCTTAGGGCTCAGCACTGTCTATCAAATTAACTCCCAACACCCTCATGCAGGAAAAACACCAACGGGCATAGTTTTGAAAAAGAAACTAAACACACACACACACACACACACACATGCATATACATATATTTATTACATGTAAGCTCTCAGCTCTCCAGCACCATGCCTGCCTGCTTGTAGACATATTCGCCACCACGACTCAATCTAGGAAACTATTAAGAAAGCTCCCAACTAAATGAATTCTTAAATAACTTGCCTTGGTCTTGGAGTCTCTTCATGGTAACAGGAAAGTAACTAAGATGCAAATCATGATCCACACTGAACAAGAAAACCATGCACTGCAAGGCAGTGGGAGCACAAACATTAATCCCAGCACTTGGGAGGCAACGGTAGGCAGAGTTGAGTTCAAGGCCAGCCTAATCTACAGACCAAGTTCCAGAAGAGCTAGGGCTACACAGAGAACCCCTGACTTGGAGAAACAAACACAGGTGGCTGCCAATGTGGCTCAAAGGCAGTGTATGGTCTAGCAACTCTGAAATCAATCTCCAGCACTAGAAAATTCTTTAAAAATGACAATGTAGGAGCTATTTATAATGTAATAAAAACAATGATGTCCCCATCTCAATATTATTTAATATAAACAATAACATACTAAGCTAAGAATAAAGTTAATAAAGAAACTATGAGGTTTCATATATTCCAACAACTATTACTACATTTACTATAGTAACTCAGAAGAAAAACCTTTCCTTTTTTTTTTTTAAATAGGTTTTGAAATAGAGTTTCTCTGTAGTTTTGGAGTCTGTCCTGGAACTCAACCAGGCTGTCCTCAAACTCCTAGAGATCTGCCTGCCTGCCTCCCAAGAGCTATGATTAAAGGCACGCATCACCACTGCCCAGCAAAACAACTCTTTAAGAGTTAAACATTATAAGATATTTCTCAAATATTTAAAGCTCATATGATCTGGAGCCTGAAGTAGGATGAGTATAAATTCAAAATCAGTCTGGGGTATATACATTAAGACTGTGTCTCAAATAATAACAACAATAGTAATAAAATAAAACCTATGTGAAAAAAAAATCTTAAGGACGGTCTAAATGGTGTGGCCCACAGGAGGTGGATCTCTAAGAGTTCAAGGCCAGCCTGGTCTACACAAAGAAACCCTGTCTGAAAAACAAAACAAGAACAAAAAGAAAAGAGTATCTAGAACCTACATAAATGTGCAAAAAGAGAACCGGTTTTACAGATTTTACTCTGACCTTCACATGTTCACCGTGGCACCTGGGCGCCCACCTACACACCATGCACACGCAACAATTTTTAACCCTTAAGACTCCAAAGGACATCAGAATAAAGCATATGTCCACAGATCTGAGTGTCCAACATTATAAAGACGCTGCTTTCCTCTAAATTATTTCATAAACTTAACACAATCTCAATAGTAATTTTGGGGAGGAGGAACATCTCCTTCTCCGAGAACTAGACAAGCAAATCCTAAAGTTTATATGAAAAATAAATTAAGCCTATAATTCTAGCTTCTCAGGGGTCTGAGACAGGAACGGCCTAAGTGTACCACTGGCTTATTTTGTGGGTTCTGGGGATCTGAATTAAGGTCCTCAGGCTTGCATGTCAGGCACTCACTAACATGAAGCAGCTACCCAGCCCCTCAATAGTTTCTATAAAATAACAATAACCAACCTTAAACCTTAAGGCCTGAAAGTATATAACCTTGGGTAGGGATGCATTCCTCTCCCAAACATTTTCTGGGGATCTTAAATCAGACTATTAACTTACTTTTTTAACAGAAGTTATCCTAAATTACTGCATCCCTGTGAGTTTTACACCCTGTCAGGTGTACCTCAATAAATACCCTGAGGTTCCTTAGCAATCCTTTGAAGCAATCCTTTGAAGACAATGGCTCTAACCCTCACCAAAATGGTCTATATGACTACCATAGAAAAAATGAAGAGCAACTCTTTGACAAGCCCACACACATCTAGGATGTCTTCATTCCTGGGTACCTTTTTTTAAAAATCTGAATGAAACTATCTGAGGATAAGGACGTGTGGCTCAGTTGGAAGACTGCCTGCCAAGCATACAGGAAGCCCTGGGTTCAATACCTAGCAACACATCAACTGGTTATGGTGGTATGCCCCTGTAATGCAGAGTTTGGGAGGTAGAGACAGCAAGAGACCAGCCTCAGCTACTACATAGCTAGTTCAAAGCCAGCCTATGCTAAACGATACCCTGTCTCGAAAAATTTCAAGAAACTCCCAACTCCGGGGCAAGCAAGATGGCTCAAGTAAAGGCACGTGCTACCAAGCCTGAAGTACTGAGCTTAATCTTCCTTACCCACGCACTAGAAGAACCAAGTCCTTCAAGCTGCCCTCTGACTTCCATGCAGGGTGTCCCACTTGAGAGTTCCAATAAAGGGAAAGCAAAAATGTTGCAATCAAAATATTTTCTCAAAATAACAGAATATAGGCCAAATGGTAGTGGCGCCCATCTTTGATTCCAGCACTTGAGAGGCAGGAGGCAGGTGGATCTAACTCTGATTGAGGCCAGCCTGGTCTACAGAGTGAGTTCCAGGACAGCCAGGCTACACAGAGAAACCATCTCAAAAACAAACAACCCCTCCAAAGCAAAACAAAACACCCTGACTCTGTTTCATATTGGCTTACTCTGAAATCATTCCCTAGGTTGACGCCAAAGACTCAGTTTTACCTGAGTCACAGTGTTAAAACATGAAGGAACTCCTCAGGTAGCTGATGAGCTCTGCCTCTATGCCTGCATCTACTGACAAAGTGAACATGTTATACCATCTTTTAGGAACACAGGGCAGGAAATCAGAGTGAGAGGCATACACTGCTGGGCATGGTGGCACAAACCTGGAATCTAAGCACCCAAAGGACACAAGTTCAAGGCCAGTCTGGTCTGCAAAGTTATACAGGGTGACCCAATCTCAAAAAGTGAAAATACGGTAAATCAGCTGCATCAATGTTCACTGACTAAGCATAAACAGAATCAACGCAGTAGATTAAAACATCCCGTGGTAGTTGGAATGAAAATAGCCTTCATGGGTTCATATATTTGAATAACTGGTCCCCAGGTGGTAGAATTAGGAAGGATTAGGAGATGCCGTCTTGATAAGGAGGAGTATCACTAGGGGAGGGTCTGAGGGTTCAAGAGACTCCGATTGTGGATTAAAATGTGAGTTTTCAGCCTTCCCTTTGCTCTGCCATCATGAACCATAAGCCAGACTAAACACATTCTTTACAAATTGCCTTGGTCATGGTGTTTTACATGCTAAAACTACACAACTTTAAAATGTAAAGTGATGCTTAGAAGAAGACAAGGACTGGGATGGGAAAGACAGCTCAGCAGTTAAGATCACTGGCTACTCTTCCAAAGGGCCAGCCACATGGTGGCTCACACTGTTCCAGGAGGACCCCACACCCTCGTCTGGCCTTCATAGGCACCAGGCACACAAGTTGGTGAACCAGCATACATGCTGTCCATCTTCCAGAAGACATGGGTTTGATTCCCAGCACCCACAAAGTGACTCATAACTATCTCGAGTCCAGTCCCAAGGGACATGATGCTCTCTGCACCAGGTGTGCCGCAGCTGCACAAACATATGTAACAGACAAAGCACCCATACGCATAAACTGTTAAAAAATAAAGGAAAGAAATCCAGCAAGCACTCTAAGCATCTTAAAAAAGTAAAAAAGAAGAGAAAAAGCATCAGTCTGGAGATAACAGTTTAGGGTAGAGCACTTGCCTATCATGTAGGAGACCCTGAGTAACAATGAGTTACATATTAAAATAGAAGTTGGAAAAATAGAATAAAAACATCACTTCAGGCAGATTTTAGAAATGACTGAGCCAGCTATAGGTCATTCACTGCTATAGGTCAACCACTCACTAAATGATTATTAGACACTGTATTGAAGTAAAACCACACATTACTTTTTGGTTACAAAGGGTTTGAAAAATACAATCAAAAATGGTAAACCAGCCACATGAAATGTCTGCCTGATACGATTCAAGTTAAAGCATAAAAGACTCGCCTTTATATATTATAACCCAAATAAGCCAAAATTGGAATGTTAATACAAAAACATCAAGGGTTAGAATATATCTCTGTGGCGGCACCATGCACTAGGCTAGCCTCAGAACATGGAGCTCCTCCTGCTTCAGCCTCGCCTCTCCAGTACTAATAAAATCTTAAACGACAACAAAGGCTACATGAAACCCTATATCACAGACAGCAAAACTGCTTCTCTACATCATGTTTCTTTTTCAGAAATTTCTGCCATAAACAATATGACCCGCTGAGGTGGCTTAGCTATGAAGAACACCCACACAGCAGCTCACAACTAACAACACACACCCCACACTCCAGTTCCAGGGGACCCAATCCAAAACCCTCTCCTGGGCTCAAAGAGGGCACCAGGCACTCACATGGTGCAGATATAAACACACAGGCAAACACATCCTTACAAACAACAAACAAATGAATAACAATGGGAGCTGCAGTATTATTTCAGTAAAATTACCTTTTGTATCTTTATAGACAGTTAATACTACAACTTTACATTTACCCAAGCACGAACTAAACACCAGGTCTGCTTCCAGAAGGTCAAGTTAACTTCATGACCTGTACAACTGTTAGGGTCAGGGTTAGCAAACTTGCAGGTCACTGAAGATGTACCTTCCCCCTTCCCCTATAATGATCAGCTTTGGACCAGAGCTTCCTGTTTCCCTGGTAACATACTGATTTTTTTTTTAAGAAAGGAAAAAATAGTTAAACCCAGCTCTCGGGAGACAGAGGAAGGTGGTCCTCTGTAAAGTCGAAATCAACCTGATCTACATAGTTAAGACCCTCTTTTTAAACAAGAGTTTAAAACACCAAAGGCAGGAATGATGAAAAATCTGTAATCCAAGCAGGACTGGGCTACTTAAGATTCTGTCTGTCTCTGTCTCTCACATATATGCACAACTGCCCTTTAAGATTTAAAAATAGGTCGGGACAGGCCTTTAGTCCCAGCACTCAGGAGGCAGAGGCAGGCTGATCTCTGAGTTCAAGACCAGCCCAGTCTATAAGAGCAGGCTCCAAAGCTATACAGAGAAACCCTGTCTCGAAAAACAAAACAAAACAAAACAAAAAAGATTAAAAAAGTAGAGCTGCAGTGATGGCAAACACCTTTATTCCCAGCACCCAGGAGGCAAAGGCAGGCAGGCAGGAACTCTGTGAGTCGGAGGCCAGACTGTTCTACAGAGTGAACACGGAGATTACACAGAGAAACAAACCCTGTCTCAAAAAATTTTTTTTAAAAAAAGTATCTTTATCTAATCCAAGTCCCAGGAGATCCGATGCCTTCTTCTGACCGATACACCGGCAGTGCAATGCAAAAGCATGCAGGCAAGATACACATAAAAATAAAATCTCAAAAAAAAAAAAAAAAACCTAAAAAGACAGGAGCTGGGCAATGATGGTGCATGCCTGTAATCCCAGCACTAAGGAGCACAGTCAGGAGGATTTGAGTTCGAAGCCAGCCTGGTTTACAGGAACAAACCCTGTCTCAAAAAAAGCAAACATTAACAATAAAAGAAATCCCCCAAAGTTAAGCAGCTAGAGTGTGAGAGTTCACTGTTTATAATTTTCTTGGTGGTGCTGTGGGCTGACTCAGGACCTTGTGCCCTATGCAAGGTAAGGGCTCTACCACAGATAAACTTAAAGACTTGCAAATATTAATTAGGTACCCCATTGCTTTACTTTTACCATTTAAAGAAGGCCGATGCCGATAATGTCTTCAATGACCGCAATAGCAAGCAGAAGTATTTTTTCCATATGCCACAGAATTCACAGATCTAGACTCATGGACTTCTACGATCCAGAACAGCAACTACATTTTCTTCAAAAGTCGAGGAACTTGGGCCAGTGAGATGGCTCAGCGGGTAAAAGCGTTTGCTTCCAAGGCTGACAACCTGAATTCAACCCCAAAACCCACACCATGGGAAGACAGAACGATTCCAAAACTGTCCTCACACCTCCACACGAGTACAGGCAAGCATGTCCGCACAAGTACATGTAAATAAAATAACCTGAAACGAGGAACTGTGCCTAACCTAAACCATGACTCTCCAATCCTGGGTTTTCTGTGAAATGACGCTCCTCAAAATGAAATGCGAATTTCCCGGGCAACTCTATTAAAGTACCTCAAAAATCAGAAACGGAGAGTCTGCGGCAGGCACCCCCAAAAGAAAAAAATTTCAAACGAGTCTTTTTTTTTTTTTTATAATTGAGCATGTCTGAGTAATCGATATCCTTCGTCCATTCATAAACTGCATTAGTAATCGATATCCTTCGTCCATTTATAAACTGCATTTTAATATAAAAATTGACTTTTAAAATCTAAACGTTTTTATTAACATATTACAAAATTCAACTGCCTGCTATAAAACGCACTCTTAACAAACACTGCTTTAAAATTCTTCCCTCCTTAGCTTGGTCCTTCTCTCCAGTCAAATAAAACGGATGCTCTTCGGGAAGATGGCCCCGTTATAACCATCAGCACTTTCGACAGGGGAACTGCGGCGCAGCCGTGACGCTTCGACACCGGTCCCCGCACGGCCTCAGAGCACGGCCACCCGCAATCGCACGCCCAGTTTCTCATTCACTCAACGGTTCCAAACGACGGGTCCGACTCTGCGGTCAGATTCGGTCTCACACGCCCAAGCGCTGCTCGGATCCCCCACCCCCGTCCCTCTCCAAGGCCCGCGGCTCCGAGCCCACCCCTGAGCCCCGCGGCGCGCCACCAAAGCTCGGAAACCCTCCCCTCCAACCTCCCCAGCCCCACCGACCCAGGACGCCCAGATCCCACCTCCTACTTTGGCGCCACGTGGACCCCGAGGCCGCGCTGACCCGCGGACAAAGACCAAAATGTCCACTCGCTGCCCTGCGTCTGCGCACTCCGAGAGCGAGCCAGCGAGCACTCCCAGAAGTCTCCGCGACGCTCCGGGGTTTGTTCACCGAAGCCCGGCCCTCCTGTCATCTGTTCTAGGCAACCCCGCTTTTCCCGCCGTGGACTACACCTCCCAGGGGGCATTGCGGGCTGCTTACCGGTCTCCCTTGCGCAAACTCGGCCGCCTCTTCTTGTATTTTGGGGTTTCTTTGTGGGTAGATTGTCATCACTTGGACCCAAATAAGCTCACACCTGGTGGGATGTTTGAAGAAGTGGGGACTTCGTCTTTGACACCTTACGGGCGTCGTCTCAGAAACAGACTGAGCCAGACTCCAAAGTAAGAGGACTCCATCTTGTCCGTGGCTGGTGTGGCTCTGGACTACGCTTCCCAGAGTCCATAGCGAGCTGACTTTGCATCTCAACTTGGTGAACTCTAGTGCTGGCCTTACACAAAACACGAAGGTGAAAAGTCTGAGAATCCTGGGCGGGGACCGGGCGTTTCCCGAGCCTCGGGGCTGTGCATGTGGGAGCAGTCACGGGCTGCAAGATCTTAAATATAGTTTTGATTGTGTCAGTGTGACCGTTTGTGCGTGTTTACAAGTGTGCGGTTGTAATCACCTCTCTCCAAGGTGTATGTATATGTGATTGCTGCTGTGAAAACATATGTGATGCTGTGTGTTATGGTACCAGGATCTTGTGGTTGTGGAAGTGTGTGTTATGTGCCCGATAGTCTTTATTCCTGGGGGGGGGGTGTTGAATACAGTTATAACAGAGACCGGAGTTTGTGTCTCTGAATTAAATATGGTGTGCAGTGTTCTGCGTCCATGGCTCTGTATCAGCACTGCGTGGGTATCCTTGCTGTGTTCCCTGGGGAAAAGGGAGCGGGAAGGACTTTGTGACAGTGTGATGCTGTGTATGCAGATGTCTTTGCTAATGACTCTCTCCAAAGTGAATGTTCAGTTGTGGCTGGATGGTGTAGTTCTGAGCTTTCTGTGAGCCACCGTGTGTGATTGTGACTGTGTAGGGAGGGCTTTAAGGATGTTAATAATGGACAACAGGAGGGACTGTATCACAGTAGTGAGCAAACTGTGTATGGAGGCATCTAACTGTGGATGAATGAAGCTGAGCCCGTAATACTTGTAATACCAGCATTTCGACTCCTGAAGCAGAAGGATCTCAAAATCAAGGCCAGTCTGAGATACACAGCAAAGCAAACTCTTTTGGGGGGGGGGCGGGGTAAAAGGGTGCTGGAAAGATGCCTGAATGGGTAAAGTTCTTGGGGCACAAGCATGAGAATGTGAGTTTGGATCCCAAAAACCCACATCAATGTCAGTTGCTGTAACATGTTTGTAATTCTGTAATCCCCACTCATACAGGGTTCTAGAACAAGAGACTCTCCAAAAGCTCTCAGATAAACTAGCCTGGAATATGTCGCAGAGTTAGACCACAAGGTAGAAGGTTCGGACTAACACCCAAGACTCTACTCTGCCCTACACATAACTGGTATGGCACACACACACACACACACACACACACACACACACACACACACACACGCCTATATGTGTGCATATGCAAAAAGATAAAAAAATAAATTCTAAAAAGTGAAGAGTGCCAGAAAATGGTGGTGCACACCTTTATTCCCAGCACTCTGGAGGCAGAGGCAGGCTGATCTCTTGAGTTCAAGGCCAACCTGGTTTACAGAGCTAGTTCCAGGACACCCATGGCTGTTAAACAGACAAACCCTGTCTCAAAAAAAGAAAAAACAAACAAACCAAAAAAAGAGTTGATGTGCTGTTTGTGGTGTTGTAAGACCCTAATTCTGGGGTCCTGATGGGCCGATGGGACAGCCCCGCGACACAAACACCAAAACCAGGAGATGCAACAAGCAATCACAGTTCCACAGCTCAAAACTAATGGTCTGAAATTTCTAGGGATTTTCTTTATTGGCTCTTTAGATTCTAGGAATTGACTCTAGTGCTTCACATATGTGAGGAACTCTGCCACTGAGCTACAGGCTCAACCCATCTCTCTTCTACTTTCCCCGGCAAATGTCTCACTGAATATCTGTTCTCCATTTTCCCCCAGAGAATGGTTTTGGGCTTTGGGAAATTGCAAATGAGTTGCTCCACTGGGCAGCTCCATCTCCCTGTCCTCTGGACAGGCTTTACATCATGTGTGTGTGTCTCTGTGTGTGTATGTCTGTGTGTGTGTGTGTGTGTATGTGTGTGTGTGTTTGTGTGTGTGTCTGTGTTTGTGTGTGTGTGTGTGTTTGTGTGTCTGCGTGTGCATGTGTGTCTGTGTGTTGTCTCCATTCATTTGGGTTCACACCCATAATCCCAGCACTTGGAGGTAGAGGGAGGAAGGTCAGGAATTCTAGGTCATGGTCCCCTGCGTTAAAGCAAGGAGAAAAGACCAAATCCAGGATTGTCTAATTAGAACAAGCTCTGCACTCTGCCTCCCGAGCACTGGACTTAAAGATGTATCGCCACCTCCTAGCTAGGAACTTATTCATAATTACAAATAGAAACTTTACCTGGCAAGGACTTATCACAGAAATGTATTCTTTAACTAGAAACCTTAACCTGCAAGGTATATTTTTCTTGTTTTGGTCTTACAACACACACAATTTTTTCCCAAAGGTTCTACATTGTAACGAGTAGTGTTTTTCCACCTGCGGCAGCCCGGTCTTATCCTGCCAGCCACGCCAGCCCCAAATAATACACAGAGACTCTGTATTTGATACAATGCTGTTGGCCCGGTTGTTTCTTATCGGCTAGCTCTGCCTTAATTATTAACCCATTTCTGCTGATCTATGTATTTCTCTTACCGGGGAGCCTGCGGCATATTGCTTTCTCCAGACTCTCCATCTTGACCCCTCCTTAGGCAACCTGGTGGTCCCCCGATCCTGGGAAGGTCACCATATTGATGTCAAACTTAGTGCGGACACCCGATCGGCATAGCGCACTATAGCCCAGAACTCCTGGACTCAAGTGATCCTCCTGTCTCAGCCTCCCGAGTAGCTGGGACTAGAGGCGGGTGCCACCGTGCCCGGCTACTCGGGTGGCATTCTCAACAGGGTTTCTCTGTGTAGCCTTGGCTGTCCCGGGACTTGTTCTGTAGACCAGGCTAGCTCTGCCTTAATTATTAACCCATTTCTGCTGATCTATATATTTCTCTTACCGGGGAGCCGGCGGCATACTGCTTTCTCCAGACTCTCCATCTTGACCCCTCCCTAGGCAACCTGGTGGGCCCCACGTTGGGCGCCATCTGTAACGAGTAGTGTTTTTCCGCCTGCCGCCGCCCGGTCTTGTCCTGCCACGGCGCCAGCCCCAAATAATACACCTTACACCTTACACTACATTTTGTTACTGGACAAGCCACAGCCCAATTTAAACAGGACCAAGTCTCAGAGTTAAAAATGTTGACCTCCATCTGGTCAGGTCCATGATCATGACTCCGTGAAACCCCTCGGTGTTGCCATCCTGTGCACCCTTACCTCCCAGCCTTGTTCCCCTCCAACGCCTTCTCGTGGACTTGTACTTGGTTTTGCTACCAGTTTTTATCTAACTCCATTGAGGAATAAGACAGTTTCACTTATGTTTCTTGGCTAGGAATTGCTTGACTTTGAAACTCTTGGGAGGAGACTTGGCGAGAGGCAGAGTCGGGGGTACAGTGCATGACGGTGGAGGGAAGGAGGGGCCACACGCACCATTTAAAAAAGCAAGGGCCTACAATCAGAGTTAGCAGCTGAAGGCCCTTGCTGCCAAGCTGACACCTGAGTGCCTTCACGGGAACCCACACATTAGGGGGACAGAGCCTGCTTCTGAAAGTTACCTTCTGACCTCCATGGGGCTATAGCACGTGTTAACCCTGCTGAACAAGTAAAGGCCATGCCAGGCGGTGGTGGTGAGCGCCTTTAATCCCAGCAGTCTGTGAGTTCAAGGCCAGCCTGGTCTACAGAGCTAGTTCCAGGACAGGCTCCAAAGCAATATGGAGAAACTCTGTCTCGAAAAACCAAAAAAAAAAAAAAAAAAAAAAAAAAGAAGAAGAAGAAGAAGAAATAGAGAAAGAGAGAGAATAAATGCCATTACCAAATTCTTTGGTCAAGCTGTGCTAGCTTTATATTCTGTCAGACAGGATTATCTCCCTAAAGCTTCATTTAGGAAAATACCATTGTCATAGGAAAGAGGTAAGCCTTATATAGCCCCACCCCAAATTGCAAGGCTAGAGGGTTTTGGGTCATGTAGGAACTTGACAGAACATCTTATCAGGGTGGAGGTAGAAAATGTCAAATTCAAGACCCAGTCAAAACCCAGGTTCTACAGGAAACAGAAATGAACTTATTTTGACCTTGTAACAAGTTGGCTTTCAATCTTAAGGTGGAGTCAGGCTGGTCCATCACTTGTCTGGGTAGGCACACTCAATAAATATTAATAACAATAAATACTGTTACTACTCTGATTCTTTGTTGACCAAGGGGCAGGGTTCGGCTCATCTTTCTTTCTAATTCTTTGTTACATTTGTTTATTTATGATAGGGATCAATGGCAGCCTCTTCTGCTTACATGTGGAGGTCAGAGGACTTGCAGGAGTTGCATCTCTCCTTCTGCCAAGTGGGTCCCAGGAATCAAACTCAGGTTGTCAGGCTTGGCAACAAATGCCTTAACCCCGCTGAGCCATCCTACCAGCCCCAGAGTTTGGTTTTATTTTATCTTATATTTTGGATTGTTTGTTTAAGACAGGGTAGTCCTGGAACTCACTCTATAGACCAGGCTGGCCTTGAGCTCACAGAGATCCGTTTGCCTCTACCCACCCCCAGTGCTATGATTAAAGACATGCACCACCATGCCTACCTAGAGTTTGAAATGCAATGTCTGTTGCTGTTGTTGATTTAATGTGCATTGGTGTTTTGTCTGCACGTATGTCCTTGTAAGGGTGTCAGATCCTTTAGAACTAGAGTTACAAACAACTGTGAGCCACCGTGTGAGTGCTAGGAATTGAACCTGGGTCCTCTAGACAAGCAACCAGTGCTCTTAACCACTGAACATCTTTCCAGAGCGCAGAGTTAGAAATTTAGGTCATGCTTCATTTCTTGGGAAAGAGCCATGGATGCTTACTCACCCAGGTGAGTAAGACCAGTTCTGGCTGGGGAGGTCGTGAGACTAACAGTACCATGTGTCAGCTGATAGCCGTAACCTGGGTGATTGTCCAGGAAGCCCTCAAACCCTGTTGTAGAATAAAGGTCTGAGTTAGGCAGCAGAGCATTGGCCATGCACATAAAATAGAAATTTAAAAACATCCTGTATTAGATAGCATTTCTTCCCACTGCCTTCGGCTTCTGTGGCCGATAGATCAGGTAGTCATAATTTGGGGAACTATTTCATGGGTATGTATTTTCTTATTTTTATTTTATCTTATGCATGAGTGTTTTGCTGACATGTGTCCATATGTCTAGTTCCCCAAGAAGCCAGAAGACGGCATCTGATCCCTTGGAACTGCATTTACAGGGCCGCCATATGGATGCCGGGAATTGTAGTGAGCCACCTCCAACCCCTCTTCCTTTTTTTTTTCCCTTTCAGACAAGGTTTCTCTGTGTAGCCTTAGGTGTCCTGAAACTCACTCTGTAGACCAGGCTGGACTTGAACTCACAGAGATCTGCCTGCCTCTGCCTCTCAAATGCTGTGACTAAATGTGTGCCGCCATAGCCCAGCTCTATTTCTCCGTGTGTGTGTGTGTGTGTGTGTGTGTGTGTGTGTGTGTGTGTGTGTACATGCACCCTGTCTCTCTCTCTCCCTTTTTCCCCCCTCTCTCCCTCCCTCTCTCCAGAACGAACACCTTTATTCCCTGAGCTGCAGGCTATGACTTGTCTGCCTTCCTCTCTGTGATTTTCCTCAGACAACCCCAGCTCTGTGCCCTCTAGCATGTGGCTTCACTCTAGCCTGACCTTGAGGCTATGTAGGCAGGAAGCTTGCCCTGCTACAACTGCTCCTTCCATACATCTGATGGGTTTTTTTTTTTCCTCTCATCACATTTCTTTTGACTTTTCTTTCATCGTTTTTTGTTTAAAATCCCTTCTTCTGCAGACCAGGCTGGCCTGGAACTCTCAGAGATCCATCAGATCGGCCTCCTGAGTGCTGGGAGTAAAGGCGTGTGCCACTGCTGCCTGACAGCCAGGGCTACACAGACAAACCCTGTCTTGAAAAATGGAAAAAGGTGTAAGCTCCCTTCCTCCTCAGCAGTCGGCTTGGCCTCGGGTGCAGTGTGTAGTAGGACTCTTACCATCCGATTGCTGTGGATAAGTATTAGTGCGGTCTTGCTCGGGACCCTGGTTATTAGATGTGTTGTAGACAATATCAGTGATCTTTGTTTTGTGAGTACAACATCCAAAGCCCCAGGAAAAGTTCTCCGCATCCAATCTCAGGGTGTGTATTTTTTTATTGCCTCCTCACACTCTGGCAAGATACTCAACAGGAGCCGATCTTGGTGTTGGCAGCAAGCCAAACCAGCTCTCACCCCTTCTTCTCATGGTAGAGCTTTCTCTTGTCCTGGGTCTATTCCAAAAGATGCCCCTGCCTCCCAAGTGCTGGGATTAAAGATGTGCACCACCATCAGGAAGCCTTCTGTGGTGTTTTTATTTCTCATAGTAAAAAACAAAACAAAAAAACAGTTTGTTTTTATCTGTTTTTTCAGCCTTGGAATCCAAGTGTGAGAGAGTTCCACAGAAAGGACTTTTTGAAGCGGAGTCATTTAAATGGGAGGTAGTGAAAAGCTTTCAGCATCGTGACCTTGAGGACTCCCCTGTCCCAGATGACTGGGAATGCAGAGACCAATTTGAGAGACAGCGGGCCAGTCAGGAGTGCCATTTGGAGCAAGTGGAAATCAATCACCTGTGAAAGCACACTATTACATCAGAGAAATGGATTTAGTGAGTGAGGGAGAGCATATAGCCGTGGCTCACACTGTATACACCACCGGAAAGCTCACACTGGGGAGAAGCCTTTGGATGTAAGGAGTGTGGGAAAGCCTTTGACGGCGCCTTGTCGGTTATAAGCCTGGATTGGTTGGCCACCAATCGCAGTAGTCAGCAGGCTGAGATACGAGGATCACAAGTTCTAGACAGGTCAGAACTATGTGGCAAGGCCCTCTCTGAGGGACAAAAGAGTTGTGGGTGAGGTGGGGCTGAAAAGTAAATCCTCAATTATCAGAAAATTATTCAAGGAAAGATTCAGGTTAGAGAGCAGTTGGACATTTCAGCCACAAGATGGCGGAAGAGTGCTACCAAACGGGTTTTGCGCGGACTTCCGCCACACGCAGCAACTTTCTATTCATTAGTTTGCTAACTTGCTCTTTTGGTTTTTGAGACAGGGTCTCGCAGTATAGCTCTGGCTGTCCTGAAACTCACTCTATAGACCAATCTGGCCGTGAACTCAGAGAGATCCACCTGCCTCTGCCTCCAGAGCGCTGTGATTAAAGGTGTGCGCCTCCACCGCCCACCTTGTTTTTTGATGGTCAGTTTCATGTTTATGATTGTTTTTCCTGCATGCCTATTGCGATGAGTTGAGGGAGGCCGTGGGAGAAAGAAAAAGCCTCACATTGTAGTATATTTTGCGGGGTCAAAAGATGGAGACACAGTCCTATGTAGTCCAGGGTTGCCTCCAATATGAATTCCTCCCGTCTCAGCCTGAGTCCTAGGATTGCTGCTATTTTTCTCCCTGCAGCCCTAGAGACTGAACTCAAGGCTTTGCACAAGCTAGGCAAGAGATGGACCCCTAAGCCAAAATCCAAGCCTCTCATTGATGGAATCTAGATAGACACTCCCTTGCAATCCAATAGTATTTTATTCTGCTCTCTGTATGCATTGATGGATGTATACGTGTGTGTGTGTGTGTGTGTGTGTGTGTGTGTGTATAGGTACATATTTCTATGTGTGGATGTGTGTGTGATATGCATACGGTGTTGTCTGTGTTTGCACACAGGTGAATCTGAACTAAATGCAAAAATATTTGACTCAAGGGCTCCACAGTTTTTTCTTTGTGAGCTGGGGTGTGGCTCAGGGGCAGAGCGCTTGTCCAGGATGAGCTAGGTGCTAGGTTTGATCCTGCATAAAACAGATAGAGAGTTCCCACTGGAAACTGACTTTTGTTTGATTTTCTCAAAATTGCTTTGCTAGTTTCTTCTCTTCCTCCTCTTCCTCTGCTTTTCAATGTTTCAGGTAGCCTGGAACTTTCAGTGGCCAAGGCTAGCCTGGAACACCTGCTCCTCCTAGCTCCACGCACCAAGTTTATTTCTTTTTACTGTATTTTATGGAATTTATGATGGGAGAGCCCACAACAGGCTTGCAGAGTTGAGCAGGGTGTATGCATACCCATAGAGCTGGCTCACTAGCCTGTCTTTTTTTTCTTTTGGTTTTTCAAGACAGGGTTTTCTCGGTATTGCTTTGGAGCCTGTCCTGGAACTCATTCTGTAGACCAGGCTGGACTCGAACTCACAGAGATCCACCTGCCTCTGCCTCCCAAGTGCTGGGATTAAAGGCATGCACCACCAACACCCGGCCTGTCTTTTCTTTCTTTCTTTCTTTTTTTTTTTTTTTTTTAACTGTGCTAGCTGAACTATGCACTTCATTGCCTCAATAAACCTCTGACTCTAGAGACAAAAAGGCCAGAAACCAAAAGCAAATTTACATATTCTCTAGCAGTTAGACCTGGCGACCTATGGTCTTGTATCTACAATTAAGCTTAACCCCTCATGTCTCCTGGTGCCTCACCCACAGGGCCGGTCCTAAAAAATGACAAAATAGTGGGCTGCCCTCCTGACCTCTTTTCAGGCTGGGTCGCACACAAAAGACCTAGGAAGCTTAAGTTCAGCTACAAAGGAATCACAGTTTTTATTTCAAACCCCCCCTTCCTCTCCTCTGCCCCTCAGTTTGCTCTTGGATTTCTGTCCAGTCTCTGTTCTTCCTTGTTTTTGTTTTCTTTTGTTTCCAGACAGGGTTTCTCTCTGTAGCCCTGGCTGTCCTGGAACTCGCTTTGTAGACCAGGTTGGCCTCGAACTCAAAGAGATCTACCTGCCTTGGCCTCCCCACCCACACCACCCCAAGTGCTGGTATTAAAGGAGTTTGCCTCCACCCAGTTATCCTTTTTTTTTTTTTAAGTAATTCATTTAACTTTATTTTGTGTGTATTGGTGTGAAGGTGTCAGATTCCCTGGAACTGGAGTTACAGACAGCTGTGAGCTGCCACGTGAACCCGGCAGAGTACACAGTGCTCTTAACCACTGAGCCATCTCTCCAACCCCACCCCCCAACATCCCGCGTCTATTCTTAGAACTTTTTTTTTTAAGACAGGGTTTCTCCATGTAACCCTGGCAGGGCTGGAACTTACAATGTGGACCACTCTGCCTTGAAATCGCAGAGACCCACCTCCCTCTGCCTCCGCGCTGGAGTTAAAGGTCTGAGTTACCACTTCTGGCTTTATTATTATTATCATTATTATTCCTTAACTCAATTCTGGCCGTGTAAATAGTTTTATCCCAGGGCCTCCCTATTTCCCCAAGGACACTGGGGAAGATCTCGACTTGGCTCTCAGGAAACAAACATGGAAACTAAGGCTCCGAGGTGCGCGACGCAGTCATTCATTCTGTAGACAGAGGAGGAGTTAGTTTACCTCTGCCTTCACTGGCTCCCAGATGCCAGCAGGGAAGCCCCAGATAGAAGCTGGGGAACGATGCCACCATCTCTTCATAAACGTATTCTGATGGAATCAACCCGAACACTGAAACAGATGACTGGCAGGACGAAACACTTTCCCTCCGAGCCAATTGGACAAATCTGATTTAGCCACGCCCCCAGCTATCAGGCCCAGCGCAGCAGGCGTGGCTTGGGATTCCCTCAGGGATAAAGTGTCTAATGTCCTTGGGCAGAGAGGGGAGGTGACTCGAGCTTCAGAGGACGCAAAATGAGGGCCATGCGGGTGAGGCCCCCACGGGCTGTGGCGGGGTGGAGGGGAGCCCCACAACCCAGATGCCTACCCTAAACATGCCAGGATGCGGAGTCTTGGAACATGTGCACCCTTCCGAGTCTGGGAATCCCTCCCTGACAGCCTGGGTTTGAACCTCCCTTTACCAGAGTTCTCCCTTAACCTCCCTGGGAGCCCTAATACCAAATCAGGGTGTCTTGGGCAGCCTGGAAACTCTCATAGGACTTCCAAGTCAGTCTTGACATCCCTGAACCCGATTTTCTCAAATTAATCCAGCCCCTTCCCTCGATCCCCCAAGAATCTGTTTCATATCCCTAACACAGAAGTCTCCTAGGACCATCTCGGCAGCCTGCTGACCTCCACGCTACACTCTCGACACCAATCCCCCCAACCCCCTTCTATATTTTGTTGTTTTATTTTTATTTTTGACACAGGGTCTCATGTAGCCCAGGCTGGTCTCTAACTTGATAGGCAGCTGATTATCTTTGAACTCCCAATCCTCCTGCCTCCGCTGGCCCTGAACTGGTCTTCTTGCTTGAATTCAGGGGTTACAGGCCTTCACCGATCCCTTCCCTATTCTCACTGGTGACTGGCATCTTGCCTTAAAGATAGATGCTCACCAGAGACACAGTCCCTGCATCCCTTCCCGCTGGACCCACATGAAGGCCGCTCTCCAAGTGCCACCAACCCACCCATCTCCACCCTCCAGGTCTCCCAGGCTCTGATTCGTTCGTTTAGCTCATCTGCCAGACGCCACTTAGAAAATCGTGTGGCCGAGAAGCAGAAACTCTTCCAGGTAGGGGGACGACAGCACTGGACCCAAGGCGGGTGGGGGTAGCATGGCCCAGACAGGAGCCAGCAGCCCTATTGTCATCCATCCTCACTCATCACACGCAGGCTGACAATGACATCCCGGTGCACCTGAAGGGCGGGGGAATGGACAACGCCCTGTACCGTCTGACCATGACTCTGACGCTGGGTGGTGAGAGCAGGGCCCGCGGGGTTGCTTGGGCTGTGGACTAGCCAGGGTCAGGAGGAGGAGTCCTGAGCTGACAAGGTCTGAGGAGTGGGGCGGGACAATGGGTTACCTATTGCCCTGAAGAATTGGGGCTAGTGATGGGTCTGCCCACCCCACCCCAAAATAAGTTCCTGGCCTGGTTCATATCAAAACAGGTGGGGGTGGGGATTCCCCGTGAGGAATCCAGTTTGGGAGGGAGCTGACACCTGACCTGGAGCTGTACCCATGAGGGTGTGGAGCCACCTGAGCAGAGGCTTTCAGAGGCTATGTGAGAGGCTGAGCAGGAACTGGGGTCTCACTTGCTATTTATCCCTTCCTAGGCACGGCTTACTGCTTATACTGCCTGGGCTGGGCCTCCTTCCCCCACAAGAAGTGACACCTCCAAGAATCTTGGAGGACTTGGACAAACATCAATAAACCCGCTAAGCTCTTGAGAGAGAACCCTACTTGGCTCTGACCCCTGTGTCTCTGTCCCAACCCACCTTGCCATCATCCAGGGATGTCTACCCAGCAACTTACCCCAGCTCTTGGCCCCTCATGCTGGACCAGTGCTGTACCTAGGACAATCTGCTTTAGATGCCTACTGGGGGGACCAAGCACCTGGAGTGGTGATGCTGAGTGAAACAGGGATGTTATAATCCGGAACAGCATCCCCTCCCCTTCAAACGGTATGAAAGGTGCTGGGCTAGTTCCAGGCAGATGGGGCTATATAACAGAGAGACCCTGTCTCAAAAAGGAGGCGGAGAGATGCTGCACATGGTCTATGAGCCAATGGAGGATAATTGGTACCAAGCTTGATGGTGATATAGCTGAGCATAGAATCCACCTGTGTGTGTGTGTGTGTGTGTGTGTGTGTGTGTGTGTGTGTGTGTGTTAGAGCACTTGCCTAGCATGTACAGAGCCCCGGTTCCATCCTCTGCACCAATCAGGCCATCAATCAGAAGAGCCAAAGGGTGGCAGCTCAGAGAGCTACAAACATGGCTCCAAGAGACAGAGTACATCAGGTCCCCAGGATCTTGTAATAGCTTGGAAGCTGCAAGGGGTTCTGGGGATTCTGAGTCCCCTCTTGAGCCTGCATGGGATCCAGGCAAAGCCTCAACAAAGCCAGGCTAAGTCTCAACTTAGAACAGTATGAGGACAGAAAGATGCAGAGCAGGAAACACGAAGGTTCAGCCCCAAAGATAGCCACTCCTGGGCTACCATTGCAGAGGATCTAGGTTAAGTTCCCAGCATCCTGCTGGTGACTCACAGCCCCTTTACACTGCTAGTTCCAGAGGATGGCAAATGCATGGTGCACAAATACACATTATACACACACGTTAAATAAACAAACACCCAAGTTCCCCGGACTCTGAGCCACATCTCAGCACTCAGGAGGCAGAGCCGATAGGAAGCAGCAGGTGGAGAGAGTTTATTTCCCCCTGGGCCTGACAGCTGGGGAAACAGAGTATAGGGTGTGTGAGCCTGCCATGGCCTGGAGTTTATTTGGCTGCCTGGGAGGTAACTGAATGAGTGTGTAACAGGGTGTGGGGTGTGTAGAGCAGGCGTGATCCTCCCAGAACTGAGATCGGGCCCTTGGGACATGGAAGCAACGGGCGTACTAGACTTGGCACACAGACAGGATGGGGGTAACGGAGGGCATGGGATGGGCGTGCTGGGGTGGGGTGACCCTTCAGCAGAGAGAGCAAGCTAGCTTGTCTTAGAGCCAGGGTAACTCGGGATGGCAAGCTGGGGCATGTTGAGCTCTGGCTGCTGACTGGGAAGCTGGGTACCAGACAGGGAGAAGAAAGGCCTGTGGGTAGCAGGACATGACTATAAAAATGTGGCTGCACATAGGAACAGGATTCAAGGAGGCTCCGTAGTGAACTGGGAGGAGGCAGGTCTGCGATCCCCGTTCAGGAATACATAGTCAGCTGTAGCCACTGGAAGAGGAAGGAAGGCACAGATGAGCAGACAGCCCTGGAGAATCAGACACCCCACCCAGGGGCCTGCTGGGCAGATAGGATGGAAGGGGCTGAGTACCCACACCCAAGAGAAGTAGCCTTACCTCCTGGATGTTCACTTGGATCTGTCCAGTGCCGTTTTTGTCAAGAGATTTGAAAGCACCTAGAGGTGAAAGGAAGGGAGGAATCAGATGCTTGCTTTTAGGATGCTAATATTATACTAATACCTAGCTAATTACTCTCTTTTTGTTATTGTATTGTTTTGTTTTTAGACAAGGTCTCACTAAGTAGCCCATGACTGGCCTCATGGAGATCTGCCTGCTTCTGCCTCCGGAGTGCTGGGACTAAGCTGACTGACATAGGATAATGATGTTATTGGTGATGACAATGATAGTTAGCCCTTCATTCATCTTTTTTTTTTTTTTTTTTTTCTGTGCCAAACAAGCACTCTACAAAGAACTTCAAAGGCACCTGTGGTGGTATACTCTTAATCCCAGAAAAGGAAGGTCTTGAGTTCAATATTACTCTTAGCTACATAAGGGAGTTCAAGGCAAGCCAGGCTACATGAGATTCTATCTTAATAATAATAATAATAATAATAATAATAAAATAAATAAATAATAGCTGGGCAATGATGGCGCACACCTTTAGTCCCACACCAGGAGGCAGAGGCAGAGGCAGGCGGATCTCTGTGAGTTTGAGTCTAGCCTGGTCTACATACAGAGCTAGTTCCAGGACAGGTTCTAAAGCCACAGAGAAGCCCTGTCTCAAAAACAAAAAAGAAACAAAAAAAAAAAAACAACAATAAAACACACACACACAAAGGAGGTAACTTGGCAATCCATTTACTGGCACTAGAATCTGGTGTGGTCCCCACTCCCTGCCCTGGAACTTGACTCCATGCTTCCCATCCACAACCAAACCAAGCCAAGAGTTACCCACACTAACCAGGGCCGAGTCACTATCTTCAGGTGGCCACACAGTATCCTTGATGCCACGTGCTCCTGCTACCATAGGCCAGGGGACCAGGGGACATTTCCCCTGGAATTTCTCTTCCTGCCTCTACCTCCTGAGCACTGGGATTACAGGTGTGGGCTGCATACTCAGGTTAATGGATGCATGGTGTCGAGCCCAGGGCTTCGTGTAATCTAGGCAAGTACTCTACCAACAAAGCTCTATCCTAAGCCTTTTAACGAAGTAACTAATTAATTAATTTTGGTTTGAAATAGATCTTGCCTCAAATTTGCAACACAGTCAAGGTTGGCCTTGAACTCCTGACCATCCTTTTACCTCAGCTTCCAGGATCATGGTGAAACACTACACCCAACTCCACAGAACTACAAAGGAGCTTTGTAAGCCAAAGCTAACCCAGTCCCTCTCTTGCCTAGAGCCTGCCCCGACTCTTCACTGGCCACCACAGTCTGAGTACCCTGACCTTGGCATTCATAGTGCTACAGAGCATGCCCATGCCCATCATTCCTGTTTCTTCTCATCGCTCATTTAGTTCTCAGACAAGCACAAAGACAAATTCTGACTTTCCAACTTTCTGGCTGAGTGGCTAAGAGCAAACACTTTGCCTGAACCTTAGGATCCTCCACCATAAGAAGGGCAAGAGAGTCTTAGGGCTCTCCCATCGAATCTTTATAAAAAGCTCTCACTGCAGGCCCGAAGAGCAGAAGTTCAAGGCCACCCTCAGCTCCAAATTAAGTCTGAAATCAACCTGAGCTACATGAAAACCTGTCTCAAAAACCAAGCAAGATGGGGACAGAGAGATGGCTCAGAGATTAAGAGCACTGGCTGCTCTTTCAGAGGACCTGGGTTTAATTCCCAGCATCCACATGGTGACTCACAACCATTTGGAACTCCAATTATGGGGATCTGACATCAGGCACAGACGTATACACTATACAGGCAAAACATTCACATATGTAAAATAAATTTAAAAAACAAAACAAACCACCAAAAAAACAGGCCAGAAAAAAAGCAAGCCAGCCTGAGCATGGTAGCATATGCTTTTAATCCCAGCACTCTGGAGACAAGACAGGCGGATCCCTATAGGTCTGAGACCAGCCTGGTCTACAGAGTGAGTTCCAGGACAGCCAGAGAGACCCTGTCTTGAAAAACCAGGAGAGAGAGAGAACCAACTCAGTTGTCCTCTGACCTCTACATATAAATACAAATGAATCAACCTTAAAATAACAAAAGTACCATCTTCCCTTTCCTCTTTAGGACTTCACAGACTGTCCCCTTGGCTCACATCTTCCTTGTTCCCACTAGGTCACTCTTCCTCCAGGCAGCCCTCCCTGATTCTCTGGGCTGAGTCAGATGCTCCCTTGATCTACACAGCCTCCTGAGCACCCCCTCGCAGCCCAGATGGCTCTCACTGGCCTATCCCATCCCACCCACACCGGCCCCAGATGTCGCTGCCTGGTGACCCCAGCATTGCTCATGTTAGAGTCGGGCTTAGAGGAGGAGACCTTGGCCAATAAGGGTTAGTAGATCCCCAGGCTCACAGATCTAGAGAGTCACTCACGGAACATGGCATCCAGCCTGACCAGGCAGCTGATGAAGTTGTCGAAGTCCATGTTGCCACTCTCATCCGAGTAGCGCCGGATGATCATGTTGTAGAGATGCTCGTTCAGGTGGAACCCTGAAAACGGCTCAGTCTCAGGGTGGGATGGCACAGTCCTTCTCCATCTCCAACACAGTGGGGTGGCTTCATCCACCTCACCTCCAGCCCACCATAGCCCTGCCAGCTCACCTGCTGCCTCAAAGGCCCCTGGGAGTTCATTGCGGTTGATGGTCCCTGACCGGTCAACATCAAAGCGTTTGTATATAGCCTGCAGGAAAGAGAAGACACAGTCCAGCCAAGCAGCATGGAACGTGGTGTCCCATGGCTTGGGGGTCTGGGCGCGGGGACTTCCAGAGGCTACCACACACCTGCCACTTTTTAATGTTGTTCCAGAGGTACTTGAATTCCTCGAAGCCCAGCTTGCCTGTGGTGTCACTCTAGCAAGAAGTTGTTAAGGACAATGAGACAAAATACAATGGTGTGTGTGTATGGTTAATGCCATAGTGAAACTTATTAATATTTTGTAGGCTAACTTCTTCAAAATTAAAATAAGTTTGGAGGGCTGGCTGGATAGGTGGCTCAGCAATTAGGAGGACTGACTGTTCTTGCAGAGGACTTGGGTTTGGATCCCAGACCCCAAATCACGAAGCTTACAATCACCAGCTCCAGGGGACCCAGTGTCCTTAGGCCCCTGAGGACACCTGCATGTACACGCAAACACACACACACACTCTCTCCCTCTCTATCTCTCTCTCTCAGAGACACACACACATAAAACTAAGCCATCAGGCATGGTAGCACATGCCTATAATTCTAGCTCTTGAGAAGCAACAGGAAGATGAAGAGTTCAATACCAACTCTGGCTACATACTGACTTCAAGGCTAGGCA